TCAAAGCAAAGGTATTTACTGAGGCAGTATCATAAGAATAGTAGCTAGAAAACATTCTTCCAGTAAATCCAGGGTGTATATAATAAATCTCCCATAAATACACTCAACATCAGTGAGAAGAGTGGGCACACACTAGCAGTGAGGCACACATATAGGGAAAACATGCCCAAAGAAACTCGTGCTCCTAGTTCTATAAGACCGTGCTATCTTCTCTCTTTTTCTGGGGTCCTCACAAAGCTCTTTGGGGTTGTAGGGTCTCTTCTGAATATATCACTTCCTGTGCTCCTCTGTTTGGTCTTACGTATCTTAGTGGATGAGTAGGTCTGCTCTAAGACACCATCGACAATGGTGACTCAAGATGGATCAGTCAGCATGAGATAGGATTGGGGCTGTCTGCCTTCCTCAGGAGAATATGGTGAGGAGGGATGCATGATGTATGGCAGGGACTCAGGGTCTGAATTTACTGAAGTTTGACTGGAAGAAGAGGGGAAAGAAGAAGGTTCAGTAAGTCTGTGCTTCTTTTCATGGGCTTTCTAAATGGTCTTTTTTTTTTCAGTGAAGCACTAGGTCATAAGACCTGGGCTCAAATCCTGGGTCACCACTACTACCCGTGTGTCCTTGGGCTAGTCACTTGAAATATCTAGAAACTTTGGCTTTTTCATCTGTAAAGTGAGGGATTAGACTCAACGAGTTCTCAGTTCCCTTCCATCTCTAGAGCTAAGAGTAAACTCGATAACCAAAGTTACAATCATACAGGAGTTCATGATCTGGCAACCAAAGTGTCATATAAGTCGTATCTGTGTGAATTCTAGAAAATAAAGGAAGAACTGAAGCCAAGCTCCCATCGGCACCTGACCAGCACCCAGATGTGTCAGGGTCTGGAGCTGAGCCCAGTGAAGGCCAAGCCTTTCCTCTAGCAATCAGGAAAGCCAGGCTGATTCAAAGGGTGACCTCCTCAGACTAGGGGAGACACTTCCTGCCCCCCCCCCCGCCAATCCATCTGGCTTCTGGCTGGGTGTGTCTCTGTGGATCCAGAGAAATCAGGAGAAGGGCAACAGACTTTTAGTGTGAATGACTAGGGATGCCCTGACTACCTCAGCTTCTGGCCTAACATCTCAGCTTAACTTCTAGTGAAGTCTCACAATGAGTGTCCATGATTCAAAGTGTCCTTACAAGGTCAACTTTCAATCAAACTTTTACATGTGAAACTCTGTCGTATTCATTATTCAGTATCTTGTGAATCACTAGAGCAGGGAATGGGCACAGGAAATGAGGAAGGTCCTTAGGATGAGCCAGTACCAACCCTCAAAGAGTTGAGAGGAAGTAACAACAACAATAAATTACTGGGATATATACATGGGTAGCTGGGTTGGCTGGATAGAATTTATATGGGAGTGGAGGGTGGATGCTATTCACTGAACCCCAGGTTAAAATCTCTCCAGAGTCAGACCCACATTAGATCAGTGAAAATTAGATATAGATGCACTCCCATGATCAAAAATGACTGCAAAATCCATGAAACCAAGTAGTCACTCCCATCCCGGGATTCAGGCTGCTATGTGAGGTCAGAGCCCCACTATCAGAACCCTTAAGTAAGCTCTACTTCCAGCAATTCTCCCAAGGGTGTCTTATGAAATCAGCTAGGCTGTTAGGTGTCTGTGGATAGAATGCCACTGGGTCTGGAATCGGGAAGACCAGAGTTCAAATCGGGCTTTGGACACTTATTAGCTGGGCGACCTTAGGCAAGTCACTTAACCCCCTGTTTGCCTCAGTTTCTCATCTGGAAAATGGGCATGATAGTAGCTCCTACTTCCCAGGGCTGTTGCGAGGATCAAGTGAGAAATAATTATAAAATGCTTAGCACAGTGTTTCTTAGTAAATATCTAAATGTTAGCTTTTATTATTGTTATCATTATCTGGTCTGAACTACATGAGAACTGGAAAGTATCCCAGTCTTAGAGTAACCTGGAATACACCCTGTCTCTGTGGACAGTTTCACCAAGTCTGAAGAAGAAGTTATATGAAGGTTGAACTCTACATTTTTGCCCTAAATTCTCATATGGCATTTCTGGAATCTAATTAGGTTGTAACAAACTCTTAGGATCACTAATTGCTCTCTCCGTAGCTGAGGAAACAAGCTACTGGATAGTTAAGGCTGTTTCCCAATAAATAAATGGTCAAAAGATAGTCCTCAAAAGACAGATTGCAAACTGTCACACGAAGGGCTGCCACAAACATTTGGATGACTGTGGTGACTTCCTTGTTCTAGGGGTAGATGGCTTCTTCCATTGGGCACTTCACTGGGATACTTTCCACTTGGCTGCCAAATGCTCAGCCTCATTTGCAGCTTTGCCAACGTTGTTCTACTGTGGCTGTCTTCCCACAACCTCTCTAACATTGACTACTACTACCTTCTTTTGCCATCTCTGCCAGGTTGCAGGGGGTTATGGGAAACCATTTAACTTACTATCAGTGATTTGGAGCATTTTTCCCATGTTTGTCAATAGTCCACAATTCCTTCTACAGTCAGCTTCATTTCTGAAGTCTCAGATCAAGAAACTTACCCAGTGGTCTCAGACCATTGGACCTTGGCACTCCACAGACACCCTAGGAACTAACTGAGCCACCTGCCCTCCTCCTGATCCAGACCCCTGCCTGCTCTGTCCTTTCCTTCTCACCAGACTCAGGGCTAGCCCCAGTGACTGCCAACTAGAGCATGAGGAGAAGGGTTGGAATGCTGTCCTTTCCCTCTTCTCTGACTATTCTTCCTCAGGCAGTGAGCCTGGACAAGTAGAGGCTGCCAACATGAAGGAAATGTTCTGGGCGTTCTGGGAACTGACCTACCCAGCACAACTTTTGGGAATTTGGGGGTGCAGTATTAAAACAAACAGTGGGAGTTAAAAAGGAATATTTGAACCAAAGTCTATGTAAAAAAAATTAGGGTTATCATTAGTAATAATAGAAGACACTTAGGCAATGTTTTATGACTTTCAGATCACAGATATTGGTTCTTTAAACTGCACTCTCCAAAGTTACCAAAGATCTCGGTTGCTGAATCCAGAGACCTTTTCTCAATCTTCATTCTCCTTGACCTCTCTGAAGCCCTTGGCACTATAGATTGTTCTCTCCTCCTCAATATTTTCTTCTCTCTTGGTTTTTGGGGCATCTCTCTCTCTCTCTCTCTCTCTCTCTCTCTCTCTCTCTCTCTCTCT